AGAGGAAACGACGGAACAGCAGACACATGTAGCATTCGGGTGAGTGAGCACATCTTTGTTTCAACCTTCTGCACCCGGCGGGCTATTATGACAGCTCCGACGTTTTCCGCTCGAGATCACGCGGAAACGGGATCATCTGCGCGTCGAGCTTTTAATACGGACAGGCGGGAAATGCGTTTCAATGTAATATCGGGTTTTCATTCACGGCCCTCCCCAATGGTTAATCTTCGCATTTCGTTTTCGTTCGCCGTTAAATTTACATTTGATACGCGTATAAAATTCGCACGATATACATTTATACACGCTAATGCCCGGCGAACGGAGATGGCCCGTCTCTACCAGAATGGGATTGAACTATGAATCAGATTAAAATTGGAAACTCGCAGTCCGTAGGAGATATGAGAATAGAACGCGAGAGTAACTACTTTCCGCCAAGCAGGAAAGTTGGTGGAGCAAGTTGAAATGTGGTACATTTTTAATCTATAGCCCCGATTCATCTTCCACTCTCATTTATCGAATGAGATTAAAAAACATTAAATACAGCTTAATGCGCGTTTTCAAATGTTGAATCGAAAATCATCCGTTTTCTTTTCTTTTTTTTTACCGTGCCGCACTCCGTTAAAATCACAATTAAGCTAATATATTATTCTTTTTCTCACTATTATTTCTGAACGTTCCTTTTTTTTTCGTCACCCCAGGCATCAGTATAATGAAGCCGTCCATGAAAATGGGAGTGATCGCCTTGATAGGGATCTTCGTAGTCTTTTATCAATATCTCCTGTCCACCGGCATTACTTTCGATCAAGTAACGGTCTTCAATGCCGATACTTCCGCGAACGCTGCCGAGGATTTGCCGGTCGGTGAGGAGGATGATAGCGAAACCCCAAGGCTCGCCGAGGAAATGGTAAAAAATAATTATTAATATTTATTATGTCATATACCGAGATTTATTTTCTTAGAGTGAAACCCATCTTATCCAAATATTTATTGACGTAACAGAACCTTATATGTCTCTGCTAAGCTTTGCGATTTTTTTCTCATTTTTGGTCGAGTCCAAAATTGGAAATTAGTGGTTACATTCAACAGAGAGAATATTTCTAAATATTAGGAAAAAATATGAGACATTTTCAAATATTTATAGATGCTGTAAAGATTAAAAAAAAAGTAATATCACAAAAATAACATCACGTATTGTTTACATATACATTTTCAAAATGACGCGTTTCCCACTTTTTCATAAAAAAAAAGTGTTAGAAAAATGGAGAAGTCAAAGTAATTCAATATTATTTTTATAAGATTATTTATGAATATATTGACATGTTTATATAAGAATATGCAAAAAATTATTTTCCAATCAATGGACTTATTTATTTATCTACATATTCCCATGATGTTTAACAGATGAATTAGAATCCATAATCCGGAATAACAAAAGTACAAAAAGAATTTTACAATCGATGTGTACAATATATCTATAGGTTGGCCATATTGGTTTAACTTACAAAGAATTTCCTCTCTTTGATTACGAAACGTTGTAACAAAAATATAAACTGAATATATAATGTTATAAAGTACGAATACAGAGCTACAATAATATAAACTATTGAAATTAATAACTTTTGGTAGTTGTAGAAAACAACCAACAATTACTTACGAAATATTACATATCGTAATCACGACAGTCTGCATTTTGTTTTGTTGAGGACAACAGAATGAACAAATTGAATAATAAGCTGATGCAATCGAGTTAAACGGACAGCTGCACAAGCTATTTATTAGATACCGCTATTTATTGGATTAATCATATAATTACTTACAAACAGCGAATAGGGTGTTTTGAATACCATTCGGTTATCTAACTGTTACATATCAATTAATTGTTATCACAGACTACTTTATCAGATGAGTTATCGTTTTTTTTCTTTTGCAGATTCGATACGCCGTGTACCAAGTACAAATCACGAACGGCCTGAGTCCGGAAATAAGCTCGATGCTCGTGCAAGAACTTATCAATCAGTTAAGCGAAAACGTCTCGGTGGCCTCCAGAAATCATTTCAAGTCTCCGCCGCAATCGCAACCCTCGGCGATGGTGATACACAGGGCGGTAATGCCTCGTCCGTCGGTCCCTTCCGAGGAATCGTCCGAAGAACCCCTATTCATCATCACACCTACATATCGAAGACCCGAACAGATCCCCGAACTCACGAGGATGGCCCATACCTTGATGCTGGTCAAAAATATACATTGGCTTGTCATCGAAGACGCTACCGTCGCTACCAAGCAAGTTACCACATTATTGAAAAGGACGGGCTTGAAGTTCGATCATTTAATCGGTAAGTGAATATTTCAGATATAAATCTGTTGCAAAATCGCAGATGATAGCTGATGCAATATAATAATATACTAAGAATGGTATAGTTATTATCTTAAAATTGTCTTAAATAATGTCTTAAGATGCTAATACGGCCCTCTGATTGGTTTCTTATATTTAAGGCTATACTTAAGGCAATCTTAAATATAAGAATCTTCTATAAATATATCGGCCTAAGAAAAATGTTCTGATTGAAAACAAACTGGTTGGCTAACCAGAAGATTCTGATTATATCAATCAGAAAAAATTCCAGTTATCTCAACTAAAAAATTCTAAAAAGTTTTAATTCGTCTATTTTCAACCAGAGTTTTAATTAATCCATTCAGACATTTTTCTCAAGCGCGAGAGTGGAATGACAGCGCACTGGTCTATCATGCCAGAAATCCCGGGTTCAATTCTAATAGGAATCAAAATATTTACTCCTCTTGGAAAAAGGCCGGCAACCTCCCGAGAGAGAGATTACATGATGAAATCATATAATCAAAACACGTAAATCATGTAACGGATTGTTCCAAATCAGTACGTGATTTTTTCAATTAATTTTTGAAAGTGTCACACTGATGATATTCTTTCTCTTCTATCTACTTTTTTCTTCTGTCAATCATTTCTATCATTCAATTCTTTAAAATTTGACAACTATAAAATCACATGATGGATAAAATTATTTCTAATATTATGTGATTTTTCAACATTATATTATTTTAAAAAATCGCGTACTGATTTGAAGCAATTCGTTACGTGATTTATATGTTTTAATTACACAATTTCATCACGTAACGTTGTGATATGATTCAATAGGGAGGCCTAAGAAGAAGAAGAAGAAGAAGAAATTTTTCTCGATATATGAATGGTTTGTGTGTTATATTTACACAGCTCCGATGCCGGAGAAGTACAAGCTTAAAAAAGGCGCCAAGCCGCGAGGGGTGTCGAACAGAAATCGTGGTTTACAGTGGATCAGGGCGAACGCCACAGAAGGTGTGTTCTACTTCGCCGACGACGACAATACTTATGATATTGAACTTTTCGACGAGGTACGACCAGTTACAAGTATTTACTTCGCCAAAGATCTGAGATTTATTGTTAAAAGAGAGAAGATTCAGCTCGACATACTTTTTTTTTTTCCAGATTCGCAAGACAAAAACAGTGTCGATGTTTCCGGTGGGACTGTGCACCAAGTTCGGACTGAGCTCGCCGATCTTGAAGAACGGAAAATTCGCAGGGTTCTATGACGGTTGGGTAGCTGGACGGAAGTTCCCGGTGGACATGGCCGGATTCGCCGTGAACGTCAAGTTCCTGCATCAGCGGCCGAACGCCACCATGCCGTTCCGCGCGGGATACGAGGAGGACGGGTTCCTGAAGAGCCTGGCACCGTTCGAGCCACGGGACGCCCAACTGCTGGCGGATAATTGCACCAAGGTGCTAGCCTGGCACACGCAGACGAAGAAGAACGAGCCGAGCGCGCCGTTGGACATGAAGCTTTACGGCGCGACGAATCTGGTGAAGCTCAAGCAGCAGATAGTATGATGTCGGCCGGGACAACGAAGATGCGTGAACTCGAACCTGAATCTTGTGTGTAATCCCGCCCCTCCTTCGCACTAGTTCATCGGTGTCACTCCAGGGGAATTCCTAGGTGCGGAAAACTGTGCGATTCAGTGCCTAAAAGTATATCTACCCTCTCTCTCACGGTGAGAGAAGTCGGGAAAGTCGTTATTACCTTTAAGCATAGCCGGTAAAACGAATCGTTTTTTTATCAGCTTTTACACATCCGCAACAAGTAGCTCGCCCCGAAGACGTCTCTTGCTCCGAGAAAGAATACCGCGGTGGAGAAAAAGAATAAAATAGGATCCTCGGGGGCAACGCTACGACTCGATACAGTGCAGATAGAAATTTACGCGTAGAGTCCGAAAGCTATCCATTGCTGTTACTTTTCTGGCATTCCCACTTTTGTGAAGCGACGCATGGGAAGATCAGTTTTGCTAAATCTAAAAGTTTAGTTAGATACTGAAGATAATTTTGTTCGAATCTGCACCAAAGAAATTATGTAGAACATTTAAACTGGTGACTACAATGTTAAAACGTTTGACAGCAATGTCTTCAAGGTTTTACAGGATTATTTTGATAGTCCGACAAATCAAAATTTTTTTGCTTCAGTAATATTGTTCTTTCCGTCGATAAATGCGAAAAGGAAGATGAATTCCTTCATTAATAACATTAATTGATACGTGAGACGGTGATGTTCGTTAAGTGAAAATCGAAGCGACGTTTCGAAGTATCCTTACGCGTATAAATGTTGAAGTCGCGCACTGTACAGATGAACGACCAAAGAAAGCAAATGAGTCACTCGCTGTAACGTTAAACTCTTACACTTACTTTACTCTACCTGAGGGATACGTCCCAAATTCTATAAATAGATACTCTATTCTATTCCATAGCGCGAAGTTTCATTCTTGAACTTGCTCTAGTATGACACGAGGTCACAAAAGATTCGATCGAAGAGTGAAAATATCTGGGCGATTTTACGCCCTCCCTTTAATTCACGCTGATCGATCTTCTAATGATGAACTTGACATTGCTCGTTAATCTAATTACCAAGTATAATGTTTAACGATCGTCACTTAATCTTATCTTGCCTCTTAATGCGATTAGCTTAGGCGATTGCGAGATAAAGAATTAGAACAAGTCCTTTAATAAGAATTCCTCTCGTAGCTTCGAAAGATTTCGAATGAGAGGATAAATAAGTTTAAAAGTCGAAGCACGAAAATCGAAGTTTAGCTTTGTCAACAATAGAGAAATTATTATTTACACGAGGATTTCTGATTCAAATATGAAATTTTCTTCGACAGGTATTTTCGATCGGAGAATACCAAGTTGAAATGCACGAGATATCTTTGATTTATTTAGCCTTCAACATAAATCAGCATAAATCAACATTTAAAAAATGCCCAACATGCAGTATGCGCATAATTATCATAACTTAGATCGAATAAATTTTTCAGGTTTTTCGAAGAATTTGAAAAATTGATTTCACGACTGAATATCGTGGAATGCCTATATCGTACGAGTAGCATTTGCCGAAACAAGCATCCTTTCCTGTATTTGACTGAATAGAGATACTTTTAATTCTCGAGTTGCGCTCGTCGCTGCTCTTTCATTTCCTTTAGCATAAGCCATTTATTTCGCGTCGCGTAACGTCGATTTACGAAATCATAAGCAAAATAGCGAATTATAATCAAATAGAGCGTTTCCGTTACCAATGTACTTGCGTGCGTATGCGTAGAAAATATGTACTTCCTAGAAAGGTATAATATTTAATGCTACGTTTGATTCCTCTTGCACGGGTTCGCGCGAGTTAAATAGTACTAAAAAAAGCTAGAAAATAAAAAAAGGTGTGCACTGAGTGCGAAATCCAAAGAATCTGTTTCGATTACTTGCCGATGAAATCGTCAGAATATCGAATCAGAATTGTACAGTAGAACCTTGATAATTCCGAACATCTCCACTTACTCTAACATATCGTTGTAAAAATTCGACCAATATTGGATCAAATATTATCTATAATTTCCTGTAATCTTATTTATACAAATACTTCGCGTATGTCACTTATTATTTCTCTAATCGGAGAATAATGTAGTTATCTTTAATTGTACAATTTGTATATTTAAAAAAATCAAAGTTAAAAATTAGTTACATAAAGTTGTAATTAATCGTGGATCAGAGTATTAATTAATTATCAGTCAGCTTAATTAATTCGGGCATTAGGAGTTCTGCTGTACGAACACTCGGAAGACTGCGGAAAAATAACAAAAAAATTTTCTATTCTCGTACATTATATGTATATTTAGCAGCACTTTCGATTGTATATCTTTAATATCGAATATTGGAACACTTCATATCATTAGTTTGATCTGGGAGTCGATCATGTTACTCTCCCAACCGTGAAAATGTGAATTTGTTCACGTGAACCGTGATGGCGAAAAGGCGGAAACCTACGGAATTAATAAATGTACTTTGAAATTTATAATAGAAGTCTGGCAATGTTATTTGTCGATAGATTATTATTTCAGGAGATTAAATTATGTTGAAATAAAAACGGACTATGAATACCGGCCTAGAAATCAGCGCATTCAAGCACGCTATGCGTGAAAAGTTTCACGTGAAATTTCGATGAATAAAAAATAAAAAGTGAAAGATGGAGCGTAAAAAGTTTCACGAGATTACATGATTGACCCCCAAGATAACTTAAAATATTTTTTTAATTCCCAATAATTTCTTACGACACATTAATTTCCGAAAGTGCTCTATTTTATCTACTTTCATCTAGCGTATGACGCTTTATAGCCATAGACGCGATTCTAGCGTATGGATGATAATAATTTATCGCTTATGTTCTATAAGATATATACATATATTTATATATGTATATTATTGCTATGACACCAAAACTCAAAAAATTACAGTATATACATAAATATCTATAGGATAATTGCACTATTTAGAAATTTATCAAATGTCGAAAAAGTGAAATAGCATTAAATTTTTCCTCATTCACATATCCTGCCAGAATGTGCGGAAATTTGTGTATAAAAGATATGTTATTTAAGTTTTAAATTGATTTATATGGATATGCGGTCCGCAATAAACTTACGACAAGCAATATGTGCGATTCTCGCACAGTTAGATTGTAAAGTGAGAAAGAAAGAGAGAGAGAGAGAGAGAGAAAGCGAGTGAGAGAGAGAGAGAGAGAAAGCGAGCGAGCGAGCGAGCGAGCGAGCGAGCGAGAGAGAGAGAGAGAG